GCAGCTGAAGGTTCGGGAGGTCTAGTATGCGGTCAGTCACGGTAAGGGCAAACCGGAGAACAGCTCGTACTGGCACATTTTCCACTTGTTCTTCCTGATATCGTAGCTGTAGAGACCAGAGAATTTCAAAGAATCCCAGTCGCCATCCACAACCCTGCCGCCTGAAACATAGATGACTTGCGCTCCAGAGTCTATCGTCATCTGGTGGTCGAAAACAAGAGGGGGCCCACCGGCTGCCTGAAAATGAAAGCCTCGGCGGTGCGTCCTTGGATGAACGCGCATAAGGAATACTCACCGAGGTATCCCTGAAAAATAATTCCCATTTCCCCGCGTCACGTCCTCTCGTATGATATCGATAAAATTGCGCACCGCGACTCGACCAGACAGACGAGCGCGAGCTACTGAGAGGTCCAGGGGGTGACTGCCGAGGGCTGACAGGCGAAGTAACTGGAGCATCAAACCCACTCGAGTGCACACTGGTAGCTGGTATCTCCCCAATGTCTCCTGAAGTGCCCTCGTCCAGCCGTCCAAAGACGTAAATGTCACCTGTCGCAGTATCGAAAACCATCTTGTGACAAGATCGCGGGCCGGGTCCATTGACATCTCGCTGAGTTGCGTAGCTAATGATCTTCCACGCTTCCGCCTGGACGTTGAAGACCCAGAAGTCGTCTAGGTTCTTCTGGCCGTCCCAGCCGCCGAATAGGTATATCTGCCCGTTCTCTTGGTCTATGCACATCGCATGCCCGCTGCGTGCGCTCGGTGCATCGCCGTCCGGATCAACAGCGTTCAGGCGAGTCCACAGGGCGTGAGGCTGTTCAGAAAGCAGCGAAGTAGTAAAGAGTCCCGCAGAGGCAACAGATGCGAGAAGCGCTTCGCATCCAGTATAGTCGCCGTTGATAACGAGAGAGGTATGGAGGTCAGTGATGAGAGGATGCTCCAACTGGAGGCCAGAGCGATCCAGAACTGACTGGAATGGCCCTAAGAATCGTCGTTGTCGCAGATGTTTCAGCACATGCCGCAGCACAATAGTCTCTTGGAACTAAGCGATATATCAGCACACAGTTTGTAATCTCCAAAGCCAAGGTTACCTCTTCGTGTTTCGCTCCCACTTCTGAGACGTAGCGCTCATCGACGATGCCGTTGAGGGCGACGTACCAGATAGAGATGTGAAAGCTCTGACCGTGTGCACTGCTACGGACTTCAGGCGGTGTGATGAATGACTGCAGGACGGACATACGACAGAGGTTCTATCTTTATGTAACGCGTGGGGAAAGCCAGTCCTGCCTGGTTCACGCTACGAACGTAGAAAGTCTCTGGTGCCGGGTCGTTCTTGAGCCCGCTGTGCAAGACCTCGGTCATGTTGTCTTCGGACAGCCCCACGTAAATCTTAAACTCCTTCATATTACATGGATGTACTTCATGCGGCGGAGGTTACCACTCTGTCCATGAATTCAAACACGCCACGTACTTCTGTGAAACTACGGCCGTTCAGTTACAGAGCAGCATGCGCACTACTTGAACAAACCTTGCCAAACGTAATGCTCCCTGCGAAGTGTTTCAACACGCGGCTGCGGAGGTAGCGAACGGAGAGAACTCAACTGAGAACGGCAGGGCTATCCAGCCGTAGTAGGAGGTATTGTTGCACATTGGAAGACTGAGCGGCGCCGCTCCACCGACTGGACTGGTCTAGTGGATTGTCGTGCAGAATGTTGTCCGCCACATAACGTCCGCTATGCTCTGTGCCACTTGCGATAGTGTAGGTCAGCTGTACCGTCGGGGGTTGCTGGCTGGTGTCCATTGCTTCGAAGCTTGTAACTCGTCCTCAACGAACTTCCTAGATGCGTTCAGGTCGAGAAACGGCGATGAGACGAAGTTGGATTCGACAAGTCGAGATGGGAAGCGGGAGAAAGGTCGGATGTCGAGGAGCGGGGCATACGTGAATAGTGCTCGAGGGCGCCTATCATATCTGCCGCCATTTCGTCATCATGCCCCGTTCGCCGAGCTCGACGACGAACAGCACACGTCTGACGGCTTCCAGAACTGCGGCCAGGGTTCTGTTCATCACAGACGAACGTGATAATCTCCGTTCAAGGAGGCCAGAACCTCCGGACGGCGTTGACCGCCCTGCAGCGCAGGATGCCGAAAGCGTGGTATTCCAGAAATACCGGGAAAAATAGCGCTGCCGCTGCGGTGACAATCCAGACTCGTTGCTCAACGACCACCACCAGCGCGATAATGGCGTCCAAGAACCTCAGACAGCGCGTTCAAGACATCTCACTGGGACCGGTCCTTGAGCATTTCAAGACGGTCGTGTTCGTGTATTTCGTCCTGGCACGCCTGATCAAGGTGCAACGACACCTTCGCGCGCGAGGCCTCCGCACGACGCTGATGGAGTACTGGACGTGGATGAGCAAAGTATGTGTGGTTTTCTGGGTCATGTACGTACAGCTCACCATCGTTTCAGAACTTTTTGCTGCTCGCTTTGAAATGTCTGCCCGACCAGCGGAAAAAGGCAGAGGCCGAGATCGCAAATGCCAAGTTCATTCTTGACAACAAGTTCATTCCGAAAGGCGAAGCGGTCACACGCCACATGTCTTTGCCTCCTAAGGGCCAGTCTTCGGAGTGGATTGCGAGCGAGATGGAGAAGATGGACACAGAAATCGGACACACGGAGTGGAAGAATGGCAAGATCTCCGGGGCTGTCTACCGTGCGTTCGATATCTGCCTTGTCAGTCATGTGTCGCGTACTCACTGCATGTGCTGTAGATGGCGGCGACGACCTCACAAAAATCCTCATTGCGGCATTTGACCGGTATTGCGTGTCGAACCCTTTGCATCCAGATGTCTTTCCGGCCGTGCGCAAGATGGAGGCTGAAATTGTCGCCATGTGTCTGCGTATGTACAACAATCCGATGGGCGCAGGTGCAACGACGTCTGGAGGTACCGAGTCTATCATCATGTCTGTTAAAACACACCGCGACTGGGCCAGGGCGACGAAGGGTATTACGGAGCCGGAGATGTACGCTTCATACTGTTGCGCATGCACTCATATTGATGATCTACCTCAGTATTGTCCCCGATACTGCACATGCTGCGTTTGACAAGGCGGCGGCATATCTCAAGATCAAGGTCCATACCATGCCCATTGTACGGGAAACTCGCCAGGTTGACCTGAAACGCGTCGCACGGGCCATGTGCGTCCACCTGACCTTGACATGCCTGCTATGCTCGTGCTAAACTGCTCTTCAGTAATCCCAATACAATCATGGTAAGAAATGAATTCTCAAAAGCATTGTTCATGACTGAACGCCACACAGCTCGTAGGATCCGCAGTCAACTTCCCGGACGGCTGCCAAGACAATATTGTCGCGCTAGCCAAGCTCGCCAGGGAGCACAACATCGGCATGCATGTCGACTGCTGTCTTGGTAGCTTCATTATGCCCTTCCTTGAGCCCGCAGGCTTCCCGGTTGAGCCATTTGACTTCCGAGTCGACGGCGTCACTGCCATCAGCTGCGACACGCACAAGGTAGATCCTGAGCTTAATTTGGCGTTAAATGAAGGCTGACGGTTATTTCAGTACGGCTTCGCGCCGAAGGTGGGTCGCACACATGCACATCACGCGCACTACTTATGCATATATTTAGGGCAGTTCAGTCATCATGTACCGTAATGCCGAGCTGCGCAAGCACCAGTATTACGTTCACCCGACATGGACCGGTGGCTTGTATGCCAGTCCTAGCATTGCTGGCTCCCGGTGAGTACGGAAACATGCATACAAGTCACCTAAACTGACGTCCACCGCAGTCCAGGGTCTCTGATCGCCGGAACATGGGCCGCTATGCAGTACATGGGCTACGAGTCGGTCTTGATTCTTCACTGCACCGAAATAGCTGTTAATAATGGGAATCCAGAGGCTATCTGCAGTCCTGCCGCGAGATCGTCGGCGGTGCTAAGACGATTGCAGGCCGCATCAAGGCTGAGTTTCAAGGCAAGCTCTACGTATTGGGCAACCCACCTGCGTCGGTTGTGGCGTTCGGTTCGTCTGACCCGAAGTGCTCCATCCACGAGGTCGGAGACATCATGAGCAAGAAGGGCTGGCACCTGAACGGTATCGTCCGACCCGACGCGATCCACATTGCTTTGACAGTAAGCTACGGCCACGATGTTCGTTTGCCGCGTTCGCTGCTGACGGGCGCACCCGCAGCGCCTGACTGTTCCGATGGTTGACACGTTCATCGCGGATTTGCACGACGCCGTGCACGAGGCGAGGGACACCCCGTCTGGGAAGGGCACGATGGTGCAACTCTATGGTACGCACGTCCCCGCTCTCGTCCCCGCGAGGTCATCCTTTTTTTGACGCGGACGTGCCCGTTGCAGGTCTAGGCAAAGTCGCTGGCGCGCTCGCGCCCAGCATCTCCGGACAGATTGCCACAGAGTTCTTGGACACGCTGTACAGGGCGTAGCGCGACGGAGGCGGCTGGCTGGTCACGCAGGCTCCCACGGTCGTGATGGTGACAGCAGCTTCTCTCGGAGGGCGTCGTGAGTGCGACATAAAGGGTCGTCTGACCTGTCAAGTGTGTGCAGGACCAGAGTACACTATGCAAACGTAGATTCCAGGGTTCGGTTCGTCCACATATTCTTCTTGCTAATGCTGTAGCAGTAGTATTGTAGTGTGGGGCTCCATACATGATGTTTAATAATCTCCCACTGTAGACTCGCATACCAATGCTGACAGATCACCGTGCTGGCGGGTAGATATCTCAGGGACGACGCACAGGTGCTGCTAATCGCGTGCGTCGCAGCTCCAAAGTCACTAATCGGCCTGACATCACGCGTCAGCTTGCGGCCGCGAGATGCTGCAGTGTTGCAAATCCGACTGGGACGACGCGTTCTTGGCTCGCAGATTAGGTTGTCAGCCCCCACGGGGCCAATCATGTGTCGACGCGAGTACCGAACGCAGCTGCTCACCTGCTCTCCGACAGCACGCGCGGCCGTCGGTCGAACGCGCTTGAAACACGACTGGGCTCACGACGGACGACCCGTGAGGCCTTGAGGGCGTAGCGGGTCGCGCGTGCCTGGTTCATGAATAAGTGCACGGCTCACGTGTTTCTGCCCACGGGGACTCGGGAGGCGCCTGGGCCATGGAAAGGCCAAGGCGGAAGCCTCTCATGTACGTGCGAGTTGGGGCCGTCGGGGCTCTCTCCGTACACACGGCCGACGGGGCCATGCCGCGACGCGCAGGCCTGGAGAGAGACCCGGACGGACGGACGGACGTCCGAGCTGGGCGAGGCCCCTGCGCACGCTCGCTGCACGCTGGGACCGCCAACTTATTGTGCGTTCGCACACGTATATATCACGGATGACATAGCGCAGGAGATGACATGGCTGACATGGCACGAGATGGCACGAGCGATGACATAGCACAGTACTGCACGCACACAAAATGCAGTGTCGCGATCGAGAGGCGAGCTGCCAAGCGCCGTCGCATGGTGACCGATCCGTTGCTGCAGCCTGCGAGCGTCGAGGAAGCAAATTCAAAAAAAATTACCGTCTTTGTGTGTGTGTGTATGAGTTGTGAAAACGTTTGGGGCAGGCGGTATCGCCGAATATTCGACGTGTATTTCCGGCGCCGTCCTCCGTCCGTCCGAGATGGCTCCCCGACAGAGGCCGAGTCGCCAGCCTCCGCGGCGAACCCTTCCCCTGAAGCCTCCGACGCGCGCTCTGGATGCGGACCCCGTGTACCTCCGTTCGCCCATCGTGCGACAAGTCCCTCCCCGCCGGAACGTTCGAGAAAAAACTCATTGATTTTGCACGACTAGGGAGGCCACACGCTGTCTAATTGAACTATGGGTGATGAATGAGGCGTGCGTCGTGAGAGATATGAAAGCACGCTCCCTGTTGGGCGTCATCACGCGCGGACATTTACTGGACAGCGAAGGCCTTCCGCAGTCTAGACGCCATTGCTTATGCGACGGCACTCGCGAGCTTCCAATGCGGCCCTTGTTTGCACCCCAGTCCACGGCTGCGGCACTAGCTGGGCCGTAGAGGCGCCAGATGGAACATGCGTGCAGGTGCAACGTGCCACATTACAGCGGCAAAGGTCTACGGTCTCGAATGGGAAGAGGCAAAGAATCACCAATGACGTGCCAGCGATAGTCCTGTATGATGCACTGGAAGTGGTGATAGAACGAGTGACGGCTACTGTCTAATGTCAGACCAGTGTTTTTCGACTCTCACCGGTACTTTTGTCGAAGTAGCATTTACAGCGGGGATATGGAAGATGATGGGAAGGTGCAGGTTTGTTTCAGGGAAGTTCCAGGAAAGTTCCGATTGTCTAGAATCACGGGTCAGTTCTCTAGACGAGAGCGCGTTGCGAGACTGGGCACCATCCGAGCATTATCAGAACCCAACCAAGCCTGCAATCACCACGGCCGCCCGTTGACCCCTTTCCCTTCAGCGTATCAACCATATGTATGCGTGTACGTTATAACACGCGAACGTGTTTCTCTAGGCAGACACACGGAACACTAGATACCCACCATCATGGCACTTCGACGAGTTCTCGCGACGCAGCAGATTCGGGGTCCTAGCTTCTAGGTATTCAATATGCTCACCGTGCCTCCGTGCGAAAAGATTAACACTATATCGTGGGCCGTAACTAGGACGAAAGAAGGGTGGAAGCGTGGAGCAGGAACAGTCTGTGCGGAAGTGCCTGTGACCGTCGAGACGAACGCGGTAGGGACACGCCTCAGGTGCACGCTGCGCACCGCAGGGATGCGGCTGTTTGCGCCACAAAGATTGCCTTTAACCTCGGAACAGAGCTGTTTTTGGCTGCGTACCAAAACCCATGCTCGCCCGGCCGTGCCGACTTCTCCCCGCAGGCCGGAAGATGGCAAGAAGGCTCGGGAAAGCTGCGATGGCGACTGCATGTGCGCTGGGCGACTAGGCCCACTAGGGTTTGCGCCTACGGATGCTGTATGAGCTTGTCATAAGTGTGCGAGCGGGCATTGTTCCCGAGACACCGAGAGGATGGTTCGCATGATGAGGACACCGTTTGGGCACCTTGCGGAGGGTTCGAGCTTCCCTTTGTACAATGTGGCTCCGCCAGACCGGAGAAAATGGTTCGGGTGGTGGAGGACTATCGATCTGCGAGAAAGACCCAGATAAGACGGGGATCACAGGTACAAACACTGAAGCGATGCCGGACGGTTGGTTGGTGGCAGATGGTTGATGAAAAGTCCGGACCACAGCAGAGGAACGGCGGCGCAGTCTGCAGAGGGTTGGTTGCGGTGTCGAGGCTGCAGATAGCGATAAGTGCGGGACGGGGGCGGACCGGGGTCGCACAGGGTGAGGAGTCTCAGCTCGAGGCATTGTTCGGGGCGTGTTCTGTGTTATTTTCAGAGTGTTCTGTGCTGCACCGCTGTCCGGCTCTAGAGCAGAGGATGGTGTCGGCATGGGCCGAGGAGCTCCGGGAAAGCGAGAGGCGAAGGGCGGACGCGCGCCACGTGGACGAGGATTTTCCACGGAGCGCGCCGAGACCGCCGGGTTTTCCGGCAGGATACTTTGTGGAGAAATTAAAACGGTATTTCTCTTGATCCCTTTGAGGTTTCATCTCGTCATTTATACCTCTGAACCTTGGGCGACCTGGCCGTTCCTTGCGATATCCTTTTGTCCTGTTCCCACCCTGTCCTAGAGTCCCGAGTATTGCTGCCTCTTTCCTGTTCCGCCGAGGCAGCACCGCGCAGCTGCCAGGCTTCTCCAGCCTTTGACAGTTCAAACATAGCCTCGTCTTCCATTCTCGTCCGCCATCCTCTATTGTCGATCCGACAACATGGCCTTCGTCCTCTCCAGCCACCCTGGATCACCTGCGCCCCGAGAATCCGAAGAAGACTTTCTCTCAGCTGCCCTCCATGCTGCTCTTCAACCTCTCTCAAATCTCGCCAACCACGCAGGCCCCTCCAACCACACCCCCCACTCTTCCCACACCCCCCACAACTCGCTCGACGTCCACGACCACGACATGGCCGGCGAGAAGCACGACAAGGCCCAATCGCACGTAGACATAAACGTCACCTCGGACACACTCGTCCTCCGAGGCACCGGTGTCGATGTGGCCCCAGCACTGCTCAGCGGCAACGTCCTTCTCTACCTCACCGAGCCCACTTCTATCAAGGAGATTACTCTGCAGTTCCGGGGAAAGGCTAGGATACCGCCCATGGCGAACGAGTCGTAAGTGTCTTCACCCCGCCCGTTGTTCACTGGCTCCAACCGTGTCCGTGCACCAGACTCGCGCTCAACTCTTCACCTCTGACATACATCGTGTGCAACCATGAGTGGTCCTTCCTCGAAGGCGCCAAGTCACACGCGCACACTCTCAAAGCAGGCCGTCACCTGTTCCCCTTCCAGCTGCACATAGGCGGCTCTCTGCCCTCCTCCGTCAGCACGTCCGTTCTAGGCGGCGCGTCTGTCCACTACAAACTCCGCGCGAGTGTGGTGCGTCCAGGCTTCGCCGGTCTCACGCACCGAGACCTCCATGCCGTGCACCCCGTCACCATCCTGCGCGGCTTCAGCGCAGAGGCCCTCGAGTATCAGCAAACTCTCGAGATCGAGAACACATGGCCCGAGAAACTCATGTACTCCATCATGATCCCGCACAAGGCCTGGGCCGCCGGGGACCGCGTTGCTGCAGTCGCCAAGTTTTCGCCTCTCGCCAAGGGCGCGAGCGTAAAGTCGATCACCGCGACCATCAACGAGACCGTCAAGCTCACGGGACGGGCGGGCTCGCAAGAGAGCACGCGCGCGATCGCGACAGCCAAGCACGAGATCCACAATGGGCAGGCTGTATGCGTCGAGGAGCAGCATCACCGGTATAGAGTGCCGCTTCTGCACCATTCCCCGAGCCCGAGCCCAGTCCATACGCCGTCAGAGTCTCGGTCACATTTCTTGGTCCCAGGTCACACTTATTCACCAGGCGAAATGACGCCGTTGACGACGGTTACGACTAACTCTTCTTCTTCTTCTTCGGCCTCGGGCCCCACCACGGGCTCCAGCGTTCTCCTGACACCCGCAAACACGGCTGTGTTTTCAGCATCTAACGTGGCCGGGCCGTCGACTTCAACAGCTCCTCCGCCACCACCATCCGGCATGGTCCTGCCCCCAGAGCTCGAGCAGGAGCCGTCGAGCGACGTGGTCACAACGCTGCAGATTGCGATACCCGTACACGCAACACCGGCACACTCGCTTGAGGTAAATACCAAAAATATCGAACGAGCGTCGCGCGTGACTAACAGCTCGCTTGTAGCCTATACATGTCAACCATCGGATACGGTGGTCGATTATGATCACAAACATGGACGGGCACGTCTCTGAGCTGCGTTGCTCGCTTCCGCTGCACATTCTGGACCACCGCCTGTACGACGAGGCGCGTGCAAATACGCTTGCGACGCGCCGACTGCTTTTGGGCGCTCGCGACGTTGAGGGTGGTCGGGCCGTTGGTACCAACGGCGAACACGACCAGGAGGAAGAGGACGCCGAGCTCCCGAGCTACCCTGCGCATGTCCGCGATCGTGTCGCCAACGCGTATATCCCTGAAACCGCCGTCATGCGCGTCACGAACCCATGGGTTCACCAGGGCATCAGCCCCGTTGTGCGCCGAGACACTGAGCCGACGGGCATGTACTCGCCCGCGCCGCTGGAGTGTTTCCCATACAATCGCCCTGGTCCCCATCCACCGACGGCCCGCAGCCAACTTCCACCAAGCCCTGGGCCTGACACTCAGCAGCTCCACTGGGTCAACTCGGAGCTCCTCCTCAGTCTGGGCCAGTATGCGGAGACACCAAGTCCGCAGACGCACCGCCGGCGGTTGCCAGTCGAACACACCCCGCCCGAGTCTGCTGCGCACAGCCGACCGACGAGTCGCCCCGCGAGCCGCCCGCACAGCAGACACGGCAGCCGCGCGGCGAGCCCCATGCGATCCTCGAGCGACAACTCGCGCTCGGTGAACCACGCGAGCACGTTCAACAACGACGCGACGTACGTGCACAGCAGCAGCTCGGCGAGCCGGAACCTGCACGGGCTGTTCCACATGTCGATGAAGCCGTTCACGAGCCTCACGAGCGGGCTCGGGCTCGGGCACCGCGCGCACTCGCACGCGCATCTGCACGGCGTGGCGTCGCCCCTCTCGATGGACGCGAGCCGCGCGAGCCGCCCGGGATCGGGCGCGTCGACGCCGCTGAGCTCAGGCGCGGACACGCCCGCGCTGCTGCCGCGGCACATGACCGAGGACCAGCTGCTGCTCCATCGCGCGTTCATCGAGACGCCGGACTACGAGATCGCGAGCAGGGGCTTCCTCGGCGGCGGCATCCCGCCGCTGTCGAGCTACGCGGGCCTGCCGAGCTACGAGGAGGCCGCCGAGGGCCGCGCGCCGCCCGAGCGCAGCCTGAGCGACACGGACCTCGCCGCGCGGATGCCGCCGCGGCACGCCTTTGCCGCGCCGCGCCCTGCTGTTGCGGCCACTGCGCCGCCGTCGCCGCCGCCGTAGTCTCTTGTGTCTCGCATATCTCGCGCCGCTTCCCCACTCAATGCTACTTGCCACGCCACTTGTTTTATGACAAAATGTATCAATATTCACTCGCCGCCTCATAGACCCTAGACCCAGCACCCATAGAATCCCCCCTCGTCCTCTGTTGCTTGCATATGTTAATCGGATACGAACCCTCACGACATCTGTTATTATCTTTTTCCCGCTCCAGCCGGCTCTCGTGTACTATTATCTCCCTTCTCAGGTCAACGACGTGCCCCTCCTCTTGGTTATTTCTCTGCAAACTTCCGCAGTAGCTGCTCGCTCCTCGCATGCTCTTCTGATAGTTAAACGAAATGATACATTGCTCTTTCGGAAGCTTTGCGTGGGTTCGGCTGCTGGTCGGCGGAGAGGAGGGCGAGTTCTGCGTCGGCGTTTGCCGCATGGAGCGGGCAAAGCTGCTCGCCGAAGCGGTGTCGCTTCGAACGTTCCTCGGTTTCGCTTGGAGCTGAACTTTCGCCACGACCTGTGCAGGCCTAGAGTATGTCCATTCCAGGGGACCTCTCCTATGTTTTTTTTTTCGAGGGTGTGTTCTCGTGCGCCGAGCACGCTATCTCGTCAGCGCCCTGGCGACGCGGACAAAAGGTATGTCCCAATATGTTCAGGGCTGCTCTTGATTTTGACTTTGGTCTCTGGATTCTAGACTCTGGCAAGAGACCGTTGCATCAGCGCGCTCCCCAAGCTTTCAAGGGTGCTTGCACGCACACAGCTCGCGGCGCCTCGATTTGTTTCCTTCACGCCGATACGTGCAGAATGACCATGTATGTACACTTCGGTGGACCTAAACTCCGGTGTCCGTTGCCTTGGTACCTTATCGCTCTAGTGCACTACCCTCTACAGGCGAGCAGATCCTCGCATTCGAGCATGCATCCGCACTGTCGGCGGGGTGATTTTGACTGCGCGCTCGAAAACCACGTAGAGCACGGTGCTTCTCCCGCGAAGGCTTTTCGCCACCGACCGGCACAGCGCGAACGGCCCCCTTCGCCCACACCGTGTCCTCCCTGCGCATGCGCGCGGCGCCGGTAGTCAAAAGAGCTGCCTACACAGGAACAGCCTTTTGGTGGTGCGCCCGAGGTTTCTGCGCGATGGGCCCGCACGGATGCATATGGTCAGCCGCGGGCGTGCCGCGCCACTCGATGGGGCAAGCAGGGCCCGTGCCGCTATCTCTCGAGCTCTGTGCTCCTCTATCGACGCGTGCGCACGAGAAGGCACAGGGACGAACGTGGCCGCCTTCGCTCCCTCTGCTCCGCGGGCCCTCGCGCGCCGTCCCTCGATCGTGCCGCGCGGGCGAGATAAGCTTGGGCGCGGCACGGCCTGCACTTACGCCATGTATGAGGTACGATGATCCTCCGGCGGCGGCTGCTGTCCGTCTTCTCCTCTGCGAGCTTAGTGCGCCATGGCGGGGCGGCTATCAGCAGTAGATGAGGTTCCTCTGCATCCTTGAGGTTCAGAGAGGCCAGACGCGCCGTGCTCTGCGGCTCATCTTTGTGGAATTCCCCGTGCTCGGAGGAAGGCCTCTGCGGTCTACCGTGCTTCTCGGGGCCTGTATGCGTCTTGAACGGTTTCTGCAGTGCTGCAGCCTGTGCAAAGTAAGCAGCCCTTTAGTTCTCGCGTTCTGGCGTGATGTCGCGCCACTAAGCGAAAGTTCTACCTTAGGTCTACATAACAGGTAGCTCTGCACGTCCATAGAACGCGACAACAAAGTTCTACGTTGTGCCAACACAATGGTGCCGCCCGAGAATCAATGTGGTGGGTGTGGCACTGGCGACTTGCGGGCCGTCCGGCGACGGCTCGGCCCTGCGAGTGGAAAGCTAGCCAGAAGCGCTTGGTGGCTGACGTTGCGTGACGTTGCGTGCTGAGATGTGTCCCTGAATCTTGCCATTGAGGTCACTGCAAACTGAAGCTGAAGGCTTATCGCCGTTTCGTCAACAATGACTTCTAGCCTGCTCCCCGCGATACGATACTAGCGGGCCGGCTTGGTTCATGGCGCTTGTCTCAAAACGTGCCGAAAACTATGAGTTGTCCATGGCTTGAGGGAAAATGTGCGCTCGCCTATCTCAACCCTTATTTCGTGGAAACGCATCCCATAGCCGTCGGACCAATGCTACATCACCACGGCGATAATACTCGCCTGCCACCCCTGAGAGAAGACTATGGTCGGATTGCTCACGGACTGGGACTATCACTTCATCTCATGCTCCATACAACTCTACCCACTTAGGCACACTCAAGGCCGCATTACATCATTTCAAATCTTGAGTGTGGTGAGTTGACATCGTGAAATTATGACAGTTCGCAGGCATGACAGTAGCTATTTTACTACGATTTTTGTGACGACTGCCACTCGTCCCGATTGGGCGTTGATCCGTTGTGTAGCGGTCAGGCGTATAGTGATGTTCGTAAAAGCATGCCGCCGGGTCGAATCGTAGGCCGAGTCCTATACTACGTCGTAGCGAGCTTGCATTCCGTGTATGTAAGCACACCATTAATTGTGCTGCCAAACATAGACAATTAACGTTGACATCCAATAAAGAACAATACAGGCGGGTGTTAAAAAGTTAATGGTATATGGGTATCGCAGGGATGTGTTGAATAATATATACTCCCGGGACCATCTCGACAATGGTTATATTGGTAGTCATATGAGACCGTCGCTTGCTCATGAGCTGCGGCCGATGAGATGTTAGTGGCGTAGGACCCGAAATGCCAAACTGCCAAAATAACCTGGAAAGATAAGTAGAAGACAGTATGCATCTCATGCGCTCGATATTAAGGTCTCTGCAGAACCTGTGAGCTTTGAAGAGGCGAGTTGAGTGTTCCTCTTGAGTCTTGGAATGAAGAGGACATACTAGACAGGTAGCGTGTCGTGTAGAGCAGACTCGACGAAAGACCGCAGCATATAGGTAGCTTTCTTGAGGTCCGAGCATGCTTCTCCGCTGAAGACGCCCGAAGCACTGCTGTCCAATGAGTTACAACAGTGTAGCAGGGTGGCCAGGTGACGAGTTGTCGCAGTCTGGTAGACCGTATCAGAAGGTTGGAAGTGCAGGTAACCACTAACAAGCGTATTCACCTTGATCTCTACAAGGAATGAAGTCGCTTCTGCTTCAAATGCGTTGGCTCGCTCCCACAGTCTCGATCGTTGCCTAAGACGCAGCAGCTTTCTCGCGAAATCAAGGTTTCTTAGCGCATGCAAGCTGAAGTCGATCGAATCGCCCTCGGTATTAAGACTACTGTGAACTAAGCCTTTAGGTCAGGGACACAAACAAGACGCTACATACCTAATCATCTTCTCGGAAAGTCTTGCACGTTCTTGAGCAGATAGCACTTCTTGATATCTACAGAGTGCCATTATTGCCTCATGTAGGGTCAACCTTGCCCGCGTTAAGGAATCGTATGGGGTGTTGGACTGTATCCGGCTAACAACCAGTGCGGCCGTCTTCGTGAGGTTGTTGATGTTACAAAGATCGTGCGCGACGCCGTTGAGGAGAGACATTGAACCAAGGTCCTTGCGCCTAAAACGATACTGCAATGCTGCCCGCTTTTATAGCACATGCAATCTAGGCATGGACTTCCAGAGCTTTCTTTATATGTAATATGTTGCCGCTATTCCAGCCATAGCTTGTGTCTTGTAGCATGGCGACTGCATGGATAGCTGTGGCACGCTTCGACAGTTCAGCTGAGGACAACAGAGGCAATGTGATAGATAGTGCTGATATCTGGATCTCTACTTGAAAGGCTTTTAGAATTCTACAAATACGACTAGGATCCAAGGTGCACCTTATTTCTGTCGAACGCCACCAAAAAGCTGTGACCGTGACGGACTGGACATCAGGATATATACAGGCACTTATAATATCCGGCCAGAAATCCAGTCAGCGCGTCAGCGTTCAGTCTTGTTTCATAGTAATTGAGAGAACACGAAATCATAGTGAAGGGTTTGTCACCGCGATTCTGGCATATGGGATATATCCCATACTTGACAACGGAATTTTACGAGTAGTGGATGGGAATATTAGTAGACCCATCCAGTGTGGGGAGTAACTATCGCAGAGGAGACAACGGTGTAGGTTCTACAACTAAGCTGAAATTGGACGGCGCATTAATTTCATGACGAGATATCCTTCTTGGATGAGGGGAGAGATGACGAGACGACTCCAGACTTCGCAGTCTTGGACTTTTTCCTGGTACCGTCAACACGTGGATTATTTGGCGTCTTCCAGCCTGTCCAGGAACGCACTGAAGTCCCGAACGCTCTAATCGACTCGACCATGACGCCCGAGTCACCCAAGCTACCGGATTGAATCGTCGCTTTAGCAGAGACAGCATACTCTTCCCACAGCTTCTCGGCTTTGATCGCGAGGCGGATGTCGTGATAGGTGATTCCAGGCACCTCATGTCTAGCCTCGGCGTCCCGTTTGGCGGAGTGTGTGTTCGTCGCATAGAAAACGTTATTCTCTACTTGTTGGACATGGCCATCGTGCTGCCGCAATGGTCATATAGTTGCCAGATCACAGAAAGTACTGCACTTACTGCGGCCTTTTCCATCAGTACTTTCAACCCCTTGACATACTCTTCCGCGTAGTCCGCGTTGACGAAGACCATATGCTTTCCGAAAAACAGCTGTCTCTTGCGTCTCGGTTCTCCAGTATCGAAGCGCAGGTAAACTCTCCACAACCTGGAGTAGAGTGGCTTGAGATACGGTTCGTAGTCATCGTCATCGACCCATAGAGATGGATAGGCTGGTCGAGGAGGCAGCTCCGGTAATGACACTAGAGGGAGCACTGGCTGATACGGCCGCAGTTTGGCACTTTCCATATGTGGATCTAGAGCAGTCCGCTAACATCATCATCAAGAGTACCAGTGACCTATGATGAAACGACATACTTTTGAGTGACACCAGTCTGAACCTGTAAACCGCCATTGCGGGACGCTTGCGCTCATAGTCTTGACGGAACTTGGACGCGAAACTCGTGAAATCGCCTTCAGTTCGCTGCTCCGGGGGCTCCGTACTATAACATCTCGAGGTCAAGCCGCGATACGCTAGCCTATGTTGGACTCGGACGAAGAGTGTTTTGAAAGCAGTAACTTGCATGAGAGTGGAGGACAACGGGCGTGAATGGGCGTCTAAGTGCCTCGAAAGGTGATCACGTCCCTATGATCATGAGCAGCTTGTACAATACTACTGTTACATTCGAGTATCTGGACTATATGCGGCCTGCTGGAGACTTCGCCGTCGCAACTCATCTGCTTACATCTCCTGCAGCCCCATCCACCGCAAAACCTCCTCCAGGGTCTTCTGGTCTTCACCACCAATTTCGACCTTTTCAACCTCAAGATCCGCTTTCATGTGCTCCTCTTTCGTTGTCCCCGACAACGGCGTGACGTCGTTCAATTGAGCCAGCTTGTATGCTGCTTGGGCGGAGGAGATGCCTTTGGCCTGAGCAAAGGTCAAGAGCACATGGTGTTGTAACAGCGAGGGCGATCCCGTCAAAGTCCAGAAGGATCTATAGTACATGTTTTGTTGAGGACTATTGCTGACTTGTAAATGATGCTCACTGATACTGGACGTTGTGTTTCCTGCAATAGGCAAAGACCTTGGTATCCCAGCCATTACCCTCGAACCACCGGTTCTGAACAACTTGCACACGTCGCCCCCCATGTTTCTCCAGGGTCTCAAGAGTCTCAACGTCATATGTGTTGCTGACACCGATGTACTTGACTTTTCCCGCGTCCTGCAGCGCCATTAAGACTTTCCATGCCGCGAGCGTGCGCGCAAGCGTCTCGAGCGGAGAGTGCAGGACATAACTGTCGACGTAGCTCGTCCGAAGATTCTTCAGCGAGTTGTTAAACGAGTCGTTAATCTGGGTCTCCAGCTCTGCGTTGGGGTCATATGGAATCCGTTTATTCAGGTCGTGTCCACCGAGTGAAGTGAACCTAATAACTGTTAGGAAACGGCAGCTGGACTTGCGAGCGGAAGCGTACTTCGTCTGGAGAAACAAGTCCTCACGCTTGATTCCGTGCTCAGTTTGCAAGGTACTCAGAGCCTCTCCGACTAGGTCTTCCCTGGATATTTGAATCAGAAAAGCCGTTCAAATGCTCAGAATTACTCGTCACGCGATGCTACGCGTACCGATAGTGCTTAGGCTGACCGGCTGGATCCCGTACGTGTCATCGCTTACACAATTGTGTGTGTGCATACCAGCCGCTTACCGGTGTCTATGGCGCGGAAACCGCTGAGGACGGCACTGATTACGAGACCAGTCGTACGTTCCTTCTTCCTGTGAAGCGATTAGGCTTTTACAGCACAATTCGGTGGCTGGCAGAGATACCAAGCTGTACCGTAGATTAACCTGCACGCGGTCATCTCTGTCAGTAAGTGTAAGTTGAAGTTGAAGATGGGTTGCACCTAGTAGTGTTCACGTTCGTCCCACCGTAGATATGATGTCACCGCGCCAGACGCCGCGAGCGCAAATATGGAGATTTCAAAGGAATTTATTGGAGACGTACACGCACAGGCTACAGAGGTTGCGGATTCATGACGTGGTGATTGTAACGACGGGGGCAAGCAAACAAAACGAGACAGGTACAGGAAGGACCGGAATAAATCTGCATCCCACAAGTGAGCGGCAACGCGAGGACAGGGCTGAGAAAGGGAGGGGAGAAAGAAACAAGAACGGGTAGAAAGCTACAGAACATGAAAGGAAGAAGTACTGTGTATTTACAAGATGGGTAAATGCAGCCAGAAAGATTGAGAGGGGGGCAGGGAGGGAGAAAATGCTCGTGGATAATGATACTGGATAACATCACCGGGACGACTCTGGAAAGACTGGTGGTGGGCGCGGAGCTTGGGCCTCCTTTGGCGGCTTGACACGGAACTCCGAGACGATGCACAAGTGGCTACGAAGCAAGCAGGGTTAGCGAGCGAAGGAACCATGGTCGCAAAGATACTCACTCGGATGGGAAGTGGGGATTCGGGAACCCGACCACCTTGTCCAGATACGCTTTCTCCACCTCGCCGAGCACGGCGTTGACTGCCACGCTCGAAGTCGAGTGCCAGATGTAATCAATCGGCTCCTTGAACGTCGGCGTGTAGTTCGTCATCGGAAGCTCGCCGATGGCAGAATACGCGCTCTTCAGGCCAAACCGGTGGCGAAGGCCGTCCCGAGTGTACTTGCCGTAGGTGAAAGACATCCAGTCCGGATGATCCGCCGGGAGGCTACCGGATGACAGGAATTCGTATACGCCGCTATCCGGGACAGAGTTGAAGTCTCCACAGACGACCGTCGGGATCTTCGAGCCGTCTGCGTACGTAGGCGGAGGACGTGGCGGTGCATTGCCATCAGACGAGGACCCATCGGTCGGCGATGGTGGTGCTGGTGGCCGCGGGGGATACTTAGCAAAGTTGTTCGCGATCTTGTCAACCTCGTCCATAAGCAGCGCGACTTGCACAAGCTTGACATCCCGGAACTGCGGATCCCAATGGATATGTGCGTTGGCGACTATGAAGCGGGTGCCAGAGTCCTTGTTCTCGAACAAGCTGATAACAGCAATATGATCCTTCGTAAGAACTCGGTTGAACATATCGTCTGTCTTCTTCAGGTCGGCACGCTGCATCGCGACTGTGCTAAACTCAACGAGGTGCTTCTCGACCAAAGTGTATCTGACGGAAAGAAATGAGCAATGTGACAAAGAGACAGCGTGGCGTTTAAAGGTAGCTCACTTCGATGACTTGAAGAAAATGGCACAGCCATCAACCATCCGCCGATCGGACTCGCTCATAGTCTTGTACCGAGACTTCGGCCAGTAGACACCATCGTATCCCTGCTCAGATAGGTTCGCCAGGAAGAACTCCTCGTACTGGGCAATATCCACCTCTTGCAAGCAAACGAAGTCGCAGTCGTGGCTCTTGATCTCGTCAAGTATAAGGTCCTTCCGGTATTTCCATGTGAGAGCCCATGACGGTGTATAGCCGTACAGCCGCTCGGTGGCGCACCGCTCACACAAGATGTTATAGCAGAGAACGCTGAAGGTCTCCACGTTCGGGTCGCTCTGCATGTTCTCGCGTTCCGTCGGCGATATGAGGTTCCGCCAAAGACGTGCCGGAGGCGGCGTAGGCGCAGGGCAAGTGTCCCGCAGGTGCGCAATCAGGGCCGGGGTACCCTGCTCCTGTACAATATGTTTCAGGGCCGGGTCTATGGGATTGCCCTCAATGCCTAGCGTCTGTAGTTGATGCAAGGTACCCAGTTCCGGCGGTAGCGTCGCAATATGATTGTCGAACAAGTAGAGCTCCTTGAGAGACGGGAGTAAGCCCAGCTCTGGCGGAACATTGACTAGGTTGTTCCCAGAGAGGTCCAAGAGCTCCAGATGCTTCAGTCTTGTTATCTCCGGTGGGATGCTGGATAGCGCATTGTGGTTCAAATAGAGGTTGATGAGGAAGGTGAAGGAGAATAAGCCAGACGTTGGTGGCAGGTTCTTGATACTAACACCACCCATGTCCAACGACGTCCATGTATTCGCCGGTAATTTCGGCGCAGTCGGTCTTGGCCTCTCTGCGACAGAAGCAGATGCGGTCGATCCGGCTGCGGTAGAACTAGAAATCGGAGACGACCCGTTCGCAACGGTCGTCGAAGATGTCGAAGTCGGAGTTCCGTTAGTTTCTCCTTCTTTCGCAGCCCCGATTGTTTCTGTCACCTTGACGGCATTGGGGTTCGTAATCGGGATTGCGGACTTCTGTACCGTCCTTGAAGCCATGGCGCTTGCACGCGCCCGGTGGTGTGGAGATCTCGATGCTCGTATCATCTAAAGTGAAATTAGCTATAGCCTTGTTCAAGATGGGCTCAGTACGCACCTCGCACTTCATTAACTGATTCTGCCAATGGGGAGTCATAATCTGCGTTACCGCCACGTTCGCCGGTGACCCGTTCGGCACGAGACCGGCGTGCGCCCCGGGTATGCCATTGCCATTGGGAGGTGACTGGTAGTGAGCATGCGATAACGAGCTCTGGTGATGGTGGTGACCCATGGGGCCTGGCATATGCGGATGGGGATGATGCTGGAGGGCGGTCATGCCGCCGTTCGCATGAGTGAAGAGCGGGTAACCAGTGGAACCCGGGGGCTGTGGAGGGCCCAGAACGCTATGGTGCGCATTCCGCGACCACGGCGTCTGATCATGCAGTTGCCCGGGATGCTGGCTGAGTTTGTGGGCGATACCGGGGGACTGTTGTGCGTAGTACATGGCATTGACTACGAGCGTCGCCGTCGTCGCCTATGTGGTTGACAAAAGATGCACCCTGATAGTTAGAGGTAGTTGAGAGTGAGAGCAAGATGGAGGTAACAACTGCTCTGCGTACAGCCAGGTTTGCGGATTGCGTACTACTCGAGCTATTCGCTAACCACAAAGAGCCGATCAGACGTCGACAAACGATTGGTAGGCTAGAGAAGATATGTATCGGCGTATATGAGGAGGAACAGGGTGCAAAGTTCGGGCGTAGCAATCGGTCGTTGTCGCGAGCGAGTGTGGCATGCAAGTGGTCGATGTACAAGATGTCGACTCCGGCTCGACAAAAGCGGCGTACCCGCCCTCCCTTACCTAATCAAGGCAATCGGTCACCGGTGGGAGCGCTCTCGGGCAAAATCTCCAAAATTCTAGACCAATTCGACAGGCTCCGGGCGTTTAGCACAGCTTCTGGGTAAAGCATGATATTCGTCCGGCCTGCTCCTTTTTCGGTGGCAGTGCTAGTGGTCATGGGCGCTAAAATGCTAGAGGATCTACATTTTCGCGAGTCGTGCAACTTCTCGGTTGCAGCACTTATCGTGCCATCGAGCTATATACCCCGGACCTGCTATAAAACCATCTACACTCTTTAAAGGACTCGCCCAATCATCCCCTTGACCTCCACCTCGACAGCCCTAGAAATGTCCGTTTACCAGGCTACCGCATCTGCACCCGTGAACATTGCTTGCATAAAGTAAGTCACGAGCCGAAGGCATTGTATTTTTTACCCATTCATGGAGCAGATACTGGGGCAAGCGCGACATCAATCTCATCCTTCCCACGAACTCGTCTTTGTCGGTCACTCTTGACCAGGATCACCTGCGGTCGACCACCACCTCGCGTGCAGATCCGTCCTTCGAGAAGGACCGTCTCTGGCTGAATGGCGTCGAAGAAGAAATCAAGGAGGGCGGAAGGCTTGCGACATGCATCCGGGAGATGAAGCAGCTGAGGCGTGAAGTCGAAGGAAAGAACTCGCCCGAACCGAAGGTGCGTGTTGACCCTGTGATAGCTGCGAAGTGCATTCTAACACTTCAGACCAGCTGTCCTCATACGCGGTGCACATCTGCTCGCGAAACAACTTTCCCACCGCTGCAGGTCTTGCGTCCTCTGCATCCGGCTTTGCGGCCCTCGTCGCATCACTGGCTGCACTCTACAAGCTCCCCGCGACGCCGTCCCAGCTTTCCCTGATCGCCCGGCAAGGCTCTGGCTCCGCCTGCCGCTCGCTCTTTGGCGGATACGTGGCGTGGAAGAAAGGTTTATCGCCCGACGGCAGCGACTCGCTCGCGGTCGAAATCGCACCGCAGTCGCACTGGCCGGACATCCACGCGCTCATCTGCGTTGTCTCAGACGACAAGAAGGGCACGAGCTCGACATCGGGCATGCAGCGCACCGTCGAGACCTCGCCGCTACTCCAGCACCGTATCAAGGAAGTCGTCCCCGCGCGCATTGCTGCCCTCAAGCAGGCGATCCTCGCCCGCGACTTCGACGCCTTCGCGCGCATCACGATGCAGGACTCGAACCAGTTCCACGCTGTCTGCCTCGACACGGACCCGCCGATCTTTTACATGAACGACGTCTCTCGCGCGATCATCGCCCTCGTCACTGAGTACAACCGCGTCTCGGTGGCGAACGGTGGCAAGTTCAAGGCTGCGTACACGTACGATGCAGGCCCGAACGCGGTTATCTACACGCCGAAGGAGAACGTGAAGGAGATTGTGTCCATGATCGTCAAATACTTCCCGCAGGCGGAGTCCTTCAAGGATCCTTTCCAGCTCTTTGGCGCAGCTGGTGTCGGAGGAGCTGTCGTTGAAGGATTCAACACTGCTGTGGCGAAGCCCTTCGGCGTTGGTGCCGTCAAGAGCCTGATTCACACAAGAGTAGGAGATGGCCCTCGGGTCCTGGGTGCCGAAGAGGCCCTTCTTGGAGCTGATGGCTTACCCAAGACTGTTGCTTGATTTAACGGGAATACGGATAGACTGTAACATTGTAATTGGCATATATTCAAGTTCTAGAACTACAGCGCTCAATCTTCAGGTGCTGTCCGAGGCGTTGCTCGGGACGACGACACCAATGATGGGGCTCAACCAGCTCTCGAAGTCTGCCTCGTTTGTCGGGTCTCCCGTCACCTTCAGCGCACGAAGTAGGACCTTGTACAGACCGTTCGGGATGGTGGATCCATTCGCGAAGGTCGGCGTGTCGAATTCAAACACATTCAACTCCGTGCCGTCGTTCTCGTCTGTGTTACGCGGCTGAAAGTCGAGCTCGAACAGCGGCCCGATGGTCTTGATTTGCGCGGACGTCCCGCCCGCGACGTCTTGCGGGAAGCTCATCGTGCTGCGCTTGTTCAGCGTCGTCGGGATATTCTCGTTCGGATCGACGAGGTCCGCGCGCAAGAGTGGCGTGCCAAAGTCGAGGCGCACGAGCAGCTGTGGCACGTCCTCACCAACGAACGTGAAGTTTGTCGCGTTCGTGAGGAGGTCACCCGCAGGATCCGTCAACACCGGCAAGTCGATACCGAAGAACACGTTCGTGTCATCGACGACCTGCACGTCCTTCAGGGAGGCGGCGACGCCAAGGTACGTGACATGGAACGTCTCGTTCGCGCTCACGATCTGGATGAAGCCGGAGAAGACGGGCAGAATAGAAGGGTCAGCGCTTGACGGTGGTGTGATGTGTGCGGTAATCTCTTGCGTCTGGCCAGGGTGGACTGTTACGGAGCTCTCGCTTAATGTGATAGTAGCGAAGTCTGTGGACAGCGGCACTGGGCCGTCGGCGAAGAATGAGGTTCCCTGCAAAATTGCGTTTAGCAACTCGAAGTCCGCGGCTAAGCAGTATATGTACATTTTGGAGAGACAGCGCAGTACCAGCAGGTACATGTGAGATCTTGAACAACTCTGCTTGTGTTCCAGTATTTTTTATTGTGAAGGTGTGCCTTTAAAACCTGTCAGCGACAGCAAGTGGCTCAATTCCTATCACTTACAAGCTGACGAAGTTAGCTGTATCGTTCGTCAGCAGCTCCCCGGGTTGGATGGTGATGTTCGTAGTGAGTGCCTGGAAAGCATTGACAAGTCCAGCGCCCTGTTGCGCCGCAGTCTGCAAAGGATCGCCGTCTGTGAGGCTGCTCGGCACGAGCTGAGCGGTCGTCTCGAAGAGGTTCCGTGCGCCACGTCCGACCTCGGCACTATTACCCTTGACACCGAAAAGCAGGGCAGAGACACCGGCTATGAACGGGGTGGCCATGGAGGTTCCGGAGAGTACGGCGAAGCTGCCGAGCGGGACTGGGAAGGTCGACAAGATGTTACCACCAGGAGCAGTGATGGCGGGCTTAAAGAACATGTCGTTCGTCGGACCGTAGGAAGTGAAGGACGAGATAAGGCCGCCGGTGGGGTCAGGAAATTGAGTGCTTGCACCTGTCTGAGGGAACGACAGGGAGACGTTGGCACCGGAAGCGAATTCATTGACAAGCTACGAAGAATGATAAGTCCAAGCGCAGCTGGTACGTGAGGCCCGTTCGACGTACGAATTCTCCATCTGCAGCCTGAATCAGGGCAGAAGTGAAATTGCCGACGTCGATGTCCTCGAAGCCAGAGCCGTCGCTGGAATGAGATGTGAGATTAGTTCGCGACAGAGATATTCTGCTGCACTGACTCGTAGATCAACGAGATATTTCCTCCCTTCGCCGCGATATTTGTCAACTTTTGGACCTGTCGAATGTGCAGATAGTCAGCATTATCCAGGATGTGCCCCCAGAGACCGCTTACGAAAGTGCAGGTTCCACGCCTTACAATAACAACAAACCTGCTAAGATCAGGTGTGCTGTCTGGTAGCGTGTCGCAGGCGTCATCTGCCACCGTCGTGTCGGTGCTCGTGGCAAATATCGGCAGGGTGTCAATGACAGGTAGAGGCAGAGCGTCGAAATAGGTGATGGGGTCATGCTGCACGCCGAGCACAGTGGCGTTCTGCAGCGGGATTACAGTGTTATCAAGGGATGCTACCGAAATGGAATCGATGGCGTTTCCAGGGCCTGAGGTGAAGAACATGCCGTCGGCGCCATCATTGCCTTGGTAGTGTGAGTGCTTGGCGCGCGGTACAAGAGATCGCGAGGGCGCACCTGCAGCAATAGTAACAATTTTGCCCATGTCGGAGATCCGGCTGGAAACTACAGAAGCGGTGCCCTCCGTCCAACCGTCGGGGCCGCCTAGAGACATCGTCAAGATATCCTGGCCATCGCTCACGCCGCGAAGCAGAGCCTCAACGATGACTAGCAAGATACCGTTACTCTGTCGTCCATAGCTAACAAGCTGCGAAGCTTACTGTCATCAGGAGTCGTGCCATTGCAGCCAAAGATCCTGTATGCAGTTAGGGAAGCATTGAATGCAACACCGCTGATTTTGAAAGCGTTTCCGGGATTGGCTCCGATAATGCCCTGCTGCGAAATAAGCCAGCGCGGAGTTGAGTAGCACAGGGCTGCTTACCGCGACGTGAGTACCGTGACCGTTGCACTGATCTAATGGATCTGGGTCCGGCATGGGAGTGTTGGTACCTACAGGACTAGCAATTGAGTGCTCATCCTCTTCTGAACTCGGACTCGCGCACCATTGAAAGCGTCTCCCACAAAATCGAAGCCGCCAATGATCTTGAACCCAGGGCCGATTCCGCCACCCAGGTCCGGATGGGTCCAGTCTAACAATTGTCCTTATGAATACCCATTCGAGTGCAAGTGGAAGTCGGGCGAACCAATCCCAGTATCGATTCTGCGCGAAATCAAAAGTTAGTGCTGGTCCTCGCGTGCGCTTCGGTACATCGGCTGCTTACATTCCAACCTTGACGCCCTTGCCAATGATGCCCTGTGCATGAAGCTTGTCCACGCCCTACACATATGACTTGGTGTACGCCCACATTCAGCGGAGAGCATTTCTCACTGTGATGATATGTGTGGACTCGGTGTCTGCAGGAATGGCTGGGTCGGTCACTCCAGTCACCACATGGGACGACACGGGCCTGATGTGCGCATTAACCCCCTGTCTGGCTAACCCCATAGAAACGACCTACTGGGGCGGTTGCACCATGATCACGGGGCGGATGGCCTGTACACCAGGCATCGAAGCGAGCTCATTTCTATCCTATATCGGACTGTTGAGTATATTGTAACCGACAAACCGTCTATCACCTTACATTGGCGTCCTAGCGCTAGCAAGTCAACCTCAGCACTTCATGACAAGGAGGGCTACTCACTCTCAGCGTGACCGCAGCGCCTATGAACACGCCCGGTGAATTGAATTCTCTGTCGACTTGGAAGCTGACGCTTCGCTTGCGCATGTGGTTGTATAATAGTTCATGTGTCTTCGAAGACGTCCAGTTAGCGAGACCTCTTGGACACCCCTTCCCCCTCCCCCTTCAAAAAAAAGGGACACACCTCTCGCGAGAGAATATCTCTCTTAGTGTTCCCCAGAGGCGCGGACAGCTCGACAATGAACCTGTTGGGGGCGACATTGCCGGGCGTGGACCTGATATTTTGCAGACTGGAGACGGGAATTTTGGCGGCGAGCGCAGAAGCGACCAAGGCGAGGGTGACCAGCATAGACCATATGACGAACTGCATCTCGGCCGCGGACTACATCTCGCACGTCCTACGACCATTATATACTGAAAGCAAGAGCGTACGGGAGAAGATGCGCCGTGTGGGCACGGGACAGCAACATGAGTAACCGGCCGAACTGTTGGCGGGAAAGCACATCACCTTTGGTGAGGGATCTGGTGCTATCTGCACCCGGTATCTTCCCACTTGCACTGTGCAGCCTTCTTTATGTAACGGATTTGCGTATCCGCGCGACCGAGTATAGGGTGCGCTGATATGCTTGTATAGCGAACCGAGAGGGCTGTCCCGTGCATCCCACTTCGCTATTGAAAGACATTACATAAATGAGAACATATCGCGCAATTATACGAAACATCGTCAGTACCATTAGCGTTTAGATAGTGAGGCACATGATGTCGATGACTTCTGACCTGTGAATGCAACTGTCAACTGTGAGAGACGGGACATGCATCCGTCGCCATATGATCTGAGCTCATCGTAAGGAAAATCATGACAGGGCGCTAGACATTGTCACGACATACGCTGAAAGAAACAAGCTAAATCGGGGCTGCGGTGGTATGACGTCAATAAGGTAGCCAGAACGTCAGCTGCAGCAGCAGAACCGAATACAGACCCGGGTGTGAATCGAGAGGCTCCAGGCGACCTAAAGGCGACTGAGAGTGCTATTTAACCTGTCTCATCTCTCGCCACAAAGATGCTACGCACTTTTGTCTCGCCGACAGCCGTCCATCGCTCTTTCCTCCGCACCAGTTCGCTCAGATTGGCATACCGCACAGCCATGTCATTCCCGCACCAGCCCAACACAGAGCCTCCCAAGGATATGGCGGTGTTCAAGAACCTTGCCGGCGTCGCGTCGCTGAGCGATAAGTTCAGACGCGTCCTCTGGACTGGACGTAACAGCCAGGTGCGCGCGACTATTTCCCGTGTGTATTCCTATATGCTGACACAGGCGCTGTTCACAGCTCGTTGTAATGACCATCCCAGTCGGCGGTGAGATTGGAGAGGTGAGCAGACGTGACTATGTTGGTCCATGTCACTGAAACGGCCGCAAAGGAAATTCACACCGTTGACCAGCATCTGCTGTTCCTCTCTGGTAGTGCGGAAGCTATCGTGAACGGAAAGACGGTATGTCCCACTGTAAACGCGCTTGCTTGTCGTGCTGATCTCGACCGCGACTAGGATCGCGTCGGTCCGGGCGATATCGTCATCGTTCCTGCAGGAGCGCAGCACAATGTGAGCAATCACAAGCAGCGAATTATTGAAAAAGGGCTCACTTTCGCCGACAGTTTATTAACAAAGGCGAAACTCCACTCATTTTATCCACCGTAAGCGCACATAGCCCCATAATCCGGGTCTCGTCAGCTCATAAGGCGGTCCTAGGTGTATGCTCCAGCAGAACATAAGGAAACCACGGTCCATGAGTCTCTGGAGGAGGGCGAGAGGCTCGAGGAGGAGGGCAAGGACGAGCCCCCAAGCTGGGCACAGGATCTCCACAAGAAGGCGTGAGCAAGTCTCCGGTAGTCCAAAAAGAAGCCAGGTAGCACCGCAGGATCACAGGCAAAGGGTACTCGGCATTGTAACAAGCAACATTATTTCAGGAAGATATCAGATGTTAGAATATGCGCTGCTTGGAAAAGTGCACGACGTTTCGAGTGAAGCAGAGGCAAGCGAATCCAGACGCGCGAAGCGCGAGGGCGTCGAGATCACATGACTTGTTAGATACTGGATATAGATAACACGTGAAAGCGCCTATCTAATCTCGTCTAGCGCGCTTCCTCGTTTCGCCGTGTGGTACTCTGAGGACAACATGCGAATGGTAAGTTGAGGGCGAAGGACTTGCTACAGTCAAAGCTTATGTTGCAGTAAGATAACACAGGAAGATGAGAACGACAACAACGCCGAGGTCACCTGGGGTGCGTCATGACAGTGCTTTCCGCTTGCACGCGTCGCTCAACGTTGGGCTATGCAGAGGACCAGCAGCGTATCAACTCGTTCTCGAAGATGAACACGAGAGTCAAGGGAATTGAGGAGAAGATTGAAGCATTAAAGGTGCGTACTGTTGCTCGTACTAGGTAGACGTTTGGTGCTCATAACATATCCTTGCGCAGCAAGAAAAGGAGGCCCTCGATGACCTGGGCATGGAGCTTGAACTCGCGGACGAAGACCAACTCGTTCTGTGCGTGATTATGCGCCTTTGTGCTGATCGTCTTGCTGACTGGCCCTTGGCAGGTATCGCGTCGGCGAAGCGTTCGTGCACCTACGGCACAGCCAAGCCATGAAGCGGCTAGAGAAGGACCAAAGCGACCTCAGCAGCCAGTTCGAGAGCTTAAGAGAGAAGGCAGAAGAATGTGAGAAGGAGATGAAGGAGCTCAAGGTCGTGCTGTACGCTAAGTTCGGCCGTGCGATCAACCTGGACGAATGAATATGTATGTATGTATGGGAGACTGTGAGTTAAAATTCTGGTACCCAGTATCTTGTGCGTTGAGCGACCTCGCTTCGTGCAGAAAACACTGTGCGTATTATCCTACACTGCAAGGGTTGGATAACGTGCGTAGGATTTTTTCTCCGCCGGAAGAAAGGAGAGTACGCGTGTCACGATGTGTTTGTTTGGCTGCACGCCAACGTCGTCAAAGCCGCTCGTCGTGGCACACGCCCCAGTGGCCCCACCCCATCTTCCGACAGCTCGTCACTATCCGTTATTCTTCGTTTGCACAGGTAACAGAGATTTGTTCAGGATGCTGTGGATGACAGCTATATGACGATGCTCCACGCTCTCCATAGTTAGACCGTCCGGTGCGGTTTCTCCCCGAGGAGGACGTGAGGGCTGTGCTCACGGATTCGCCGTCGGATCGGACGTCTTGTGACAGTTAAGCTAGTCTGTCGAGAGGTGTCGGCAGTTTCGTGCAAAGTATCATTAGCGGCTCAGCCATTAAGCTACCTGCTGTGCTAATTTCCGGAAACTGACCCTGTTTGGCGAGCACTGCTAATGAACCCTACATACATGGACTCATGCTTCCAGCCCGCCTGGCACGGACCAGTTCCTACTTGGCGGATTGCGAGTTCCGACATAAATCCGTTCGCGACGTCACTGTACCTGACACTGTTATGATCCGTTTGGACGATGACGCTTTACTAGCGTTATATCGCGTGAACAGTGTGTTGGAACACGATGTCCGGCATGCGGTAAATTATACGGGATACAGTGTAGCCTGAGAGCTATGCGAGAAGATTGTTTGAAGAGGGGAAGCTTCTCTATCATGAAGAGATCTATCTTCCGCCGCATATCGTTCTGTTTCTGACGTGCGGTGTTCCGGGCAAGCATTCTCTACATCAGGAAACAGGACTTGGGTCCATAGTGCTCCAAAATGCTCCTGTAGCACTTTGTAGCATTGTGGACCTAAGTCTTTTTCCTGATGTATTGTGGACGGTCACCATGACGCAGGTGCAACGATGAAGACTCAGGTAGCCAGAAGTAGCAATTTGGCTCCATTGGTACATACACAGGGCCCCCGCGGACAGCATCCTGGGCACTATCTGCGGGATTTTGATAATCGTGTGACCCAGATTCCGATTGCAGCAGAATCTGAGCGCTCCTGTCCAAAATCCGTTCGATTTTTGTCTGATTACACTTTTGGCTCTGCTGTAATCACTATCAGCCGGATTTTGTATATCTCGCAATCTGATTCTTAGTTGAAAGCTTTTCCGCATGGTACGAAGTGGGAATCACTCGTGTGAGGCCAGAGGAGCACAGAGGTACATTGAAGGCCTATGGGCAAGTTCCCTCTAGTAGCCTGTTCCTCACTTCTCTAGTTGCCCCTGCGGCCACCTCGCATCTACCGCTCTCCGAGCTATCTCCTACAAGTGACCTATACTGCACCAGTGCAGCCCGTACTGTGATGCAAGATGTGTCGGCCACCCAGCTGAGCTCTCCAGGCACGCCGGAGCAGCAGCATCCATC